CCGATTTCTGTATCCAATGCTATCTCAATGGCAATACTGTCCACACATTACACACGCTGTCAGTGACCGCACACTACGGGCGCTATCATCACATTGACTGCTATTATAATGAACTCATTATAAACACAATGAGAGCATCGGTTACGACACAAAGGCTTGTTATCAGTGAGAGTTTGGGCGCAAAATGTGTTCAAAACTTTTGGATAAACAAATCAAATCTACATTTCATATCTCACTCGCCTTATCGTAAACAAGGCTTAACTCACACTCTCTATCAAAACTCACTGTCTGATCATAACTTCAGTTACGCTCGTTATAGAGTTCACTTGCCAACTTTTGTCATTCAACTATCAACGTGAAAGTGACTAAGTTCATAATTTAGTACGAGTGTGCTTGGTTGAATTTTATTGTTCCATGATTATTATTTGCATCAAGTTCGTTATAATCAAGGTTTACATTAAAGAGGTAAGGGGTATGAGTGTATCGATAACCAATACGAGTTCACCAATGGGGGGGTGAGTACGATATTTGATGAACATAAAATGCGGTCATATAAATGCGTTCAATTGGCACCTTTTCATGCGCTTTTAGGTTACGTTTGACTCGATATGGTATCTGTTTATCATTCAATTACCGAAAATCATACAAAAAATATATAAAATACAAATTCATAAGAAATGTCTATAACTTAGTGCTGTATTATACCGACAAATGCTTGGAAGGGGACGATATTTATAGTGAAATAGTGGTCGTAATTGTCGCACAAATTGACAGCAAATAAAATGTGACGAAAAAAGCGGACGAAATGCTTGTGTTTTGGGAAACAAATTGAACTCAAATTCAAAAGCGAGTCAAACGTTGTGTTGAATGCAGTGTCGCTGTGACTGTCATTTGAATCATCGCTCAAAACACTGTTTCCTCTGATTGTGCTCTTCTTTGAATGTCTTCAGACATCACTTCCATCGATATGAGCGACGAAGAGGTCGTTGATATGATCGACGGCAGCGATGGTCTCGAAGAGTCGCCTGAAAAGCTGTCGCAACAGTCCATTGAAACGATTACTCTCGATGACGACGACGATGTGATACTCGAAGACATGGTATGTATGCATGGATTCAGTGTTTGTGATAATTGGACACATTTTAATGGCTGTGTTTGTGTTGCCATCGATGGTCAGAGCGACGACTGCGAGATCATCGAAGAGTTGTCCTCGAGTTTGTCCAATGAGGCCATTGTCTGCAGTGAACTCAATGGCCAGTCATGTGTTGAGACCAGACATGAACTCAAAGATGAGGGCAATAGTGAAGCGGAGAATGGCGTCAAGAGTGAGGACAAAGTGTCTGAAAGCGTGTCCAAGAGTCCCACCAAACGACTGATGCCCACAACACTGCCACTGCCCTCCACTTCCAACGGTGCGCCTAAATCGGGTCCATTGCCTCCCAAAGTGATGCGAGTATCGGCGCCCATCGAGTGTATGGTCAACGGTGTCTCGACAGTGGATCCAAAGACTATTTTTGATCACTATATGCAGACATTCAGAGATCGTATGACTGCTGCCAATGCCGACCAGAAAGAGATCGACGAATACACGGGTGTCTTGAATGAGTTGTTCCCAAAAATAGAGGCCATTCCTACCAACAGGTCCTTCTTGGATGGCAATCAATACCGCAAACTCATGAGTACGTTCACCAAAGAAGTGTCGGACATGACTGCTGTCCAGCGCATTGTCTCGCATTACGACGAATTGGTTCAGGAGTTGAAGCGATTCACACGAAAGCCGCCCAAAGATATACCTAAAGTGAAGTCG